TAAAACCGCACTTAAACAACATGGGTTTGGTGAGTGTTTACGAGTTGAGGTGACCTGCAGAATTCTGTATATCGGGATATCCTTTCATTGAGAAACCGGTCCGCATTCCCCCGGTATACCTCCATGTTGGTCATTCCCGGAACTCCCTTCGGGTATATAAAAAGGAACAAAAACTTCTTTGAATCCAGGTAGTTACCGCGCGTTGATTTGCATCCAAAAAACGCAAGGAACAATAATGCGCGGCCTGCAAAACTACATAAACGAAAACCTTATCTATAACTGCAATTGAGAACTTTTCGAAGCACATTCTCGTGGCACGTTTTGGCCCAATAAGGATAAAGTTTTGCTATACTGCTGGACGCATTTTGATAATGCAAATGGGCCAGAGGGTAGAAATTCCACTGAATTTTCTCCACGTTGCACGCAGCCTTGCAGACGAAAAGCACTGACACCGAAGGAAAATCTGCCCTTCAGAAACATAACTTCCGAAAACTGTCTACCTGACCAAACCACTCTGAGTTGAGCGCATTGTCTTTCTCGTTGCGGCACAGTAGTTGAACCATGTTGCTGTAGCATTTTGGAAAGCCCAACGATTAAAAGGAATAAATCATGGGCTCTAAACTCCGTAGTCAATCACGGACCCATCAAAAATGAATATCCAGCATACTGATTGCAACGGACGAGTTCATTTTGAAAATAGCATCAGAATCATCAGAATTAAAACGAGGCAGATTTATCCACGAACAATCTACACACATACGCACACAATAGTTCCGATTCATTTAATTCACTTGTACTCAGTAAGTGACCATGACCAAAACGAACTGGGAGAATTCCGCCTACTTTCCTACACCTACGGGCATCGAGCAATCCGATATGAGGCGATCGCACTAGAATCACTGAGTGAAAAGCGTACTCTGCTCGTTTTATTTGGAAGTTACTTCACTGGATACCTGACAGACTACAATCTACGAGGTCAATCCAGAACTGTCAAAGCTCCATTCACAATCCATAATTTAGGGCGGAATTCAATTTGACGAAAGTTCGGTTGAAATCATTTCACCTCAATGGGTAAAGTTTATGGAAGTATTCTCTCCGCATATTTCATACTCGAATCAGTGAACGGCATCCTACCACATTCGACCTATAGGACACTCAGTTGCTCATACGTCGACGTGCTGCTCGGGGAGTTCATTTGTTACTGATCAGGTGGCGATTAGTCTGTCAGGCCAATTTTGCGATATTTCGTAAACAGTCACAAGAATAACATTAATGCGCTATTGGGTGT